AATTCCTGGTTGCTACCCATGAAGTAGATTATGAATGACTAAGGTGTTCCAATATATTACACTTCCCTGACAGAGGGAATGACCTTATCTGTTTTGCACTGTTTTGCAGAAGGAAATTTCTTCAGGTCTGAAAGTGTGATTTCCCCTGCAGCTTCAAGTATAAACATATTTTATTGACTTTAGTATCACCAAAATATAAGGTAATGGCTCTACTTTTACCATATATGATAAATTAAACCAACACCCAGAAAAAAAAAAAAAAAAGTATCACTGCATGTACTTTTTCTTCTGTGAAAAGGATTAGACAACAAACATAAGCATGATGTAAGATATATCATTTCAACAGTACACAGTCAACACTGCAGTGTGTGGGTTAAATTTATACATAGACCAGGCTATACTAAAATACAATAGAACAAAACTATATTTGAAAATGAGGCTCTTATTTATGTTGACTCAAAATGACCTAAATCTAAATATTCACAGAAGATGGAAAAAAATAAGTCACAGTGGAAGTGACTTATTAAGTGTTCACAGGCATCATATTTGCAGTGCAGTGTTAATTATATTCACCTAAAACAGAGTACCCATGGCATCGACAGGAAAGCTGAAAAAAAGGAGGATTTGTTATCACAATTTGGTATGTGGGAAACTGCTACTCATAATGATTCTATTTCTTGCCCCTGGTCACTCACATACAACATATAACTCAGTTACAAACTTAATTTTTTCCCTATGCTACTGATAAATGTCTTAAATAAAACATCCTTCCTTCAATTTCTGTGCTAATGGTAACACTGCAACATCCAGTACTGTAAGGCTGATCCACATACCCAGTCGTCTCTATTCTTACACCATTCCTTTTTTTCTAAACTGAAAGACAGGAAGGAAGCTTCCTCATCCCCATAATGTTTTTAAAGCAATTTTTTCCCCATTTTCACTGTGAAGAAAGCATTCCTGGGCTGCATCCTCCTATGGTGCAGCAGGATAGACCACCTGAGCTCCTGTCAATCTGAAGTTATATGCCAGAGGATATCAATGAGCTTCTCTTCCAATTAAGGGATGAATTTTTACTTTTATGAATCAGCTTGTCATTGACTTTTTACGGTGCTGTTAAATCACAATGTTTCCCACTATCATTTCACATTCCCTGTCTGGAAAGGAAGCATACACTGATTCTATTTTCACCCACAGCTACCCTGTTTTGCCAGCTTTTAAAGAAATGGAATTTGCAATTGCTGGAAAGGACATATCAAAGGAGATAGGTCTGGACATGACTTTCACTACCAAAACTGCTTTCCTGTGGTTCACTCCCTTCAAAGCTTTATTCCTGAAATGGCACAAAGCTACCTCTTCTCACGACAGTGAAGACTGGAACGCTGCTTGCCCACATGGCAACTGCGGTTTGCTGAGAGCACTACCAAGCACAAGATGCAGCATGACTAAGGTGTTGTCTGCCTAGAGCATTCAGAGCCCGACTTGTGTTTTGTGGCTGTGCTCCAAATCCCTAGATTTGGATGGATAGTGTCAGACAGTGCTGACAGCTACCACATTTCACCATGCTTATTTTTCTGTAGGCATGGTAAAACGTAGTAGTGCACAGTAGTGCTCTTAAATATCTTCAGGAGTGAGTTTAGGACATGAAAAGTGCTAAAATTCTACAAACAGGAAAACAGGAAGAAAATACATGACACAAACTTCAGCTAGGTCTTCTGAAACCGGAAAATGAGGAGCTTTTCTTTCCCCAAAACTGCCTTGGTAACACCTGCATCTTGACTGCTGCAAATACAGTTGTATAACCCATCCTGGGACATATCCATATCATTCATGTTGGCAATGCAGGGAAAATCAATTTCATATGCACTGAGACTTGTGACACTTATGGAAGGCAGCATTTGACTCTCAAGGTCATTTCTCATTTACTAGAAAGGGGCACAGCATTAGGAAAAATAGAGAAACCTAAGAATCACAAACCCAACCAATCCATCCCATTCCCAGGGGCTACAATTTCTGAGGGCAGAATTGACTCATTATCCTCACATCATGTGATTCTGACCCATCCATTCTTTGGTGTACACAGGGATGTACACTTGTATAATAGACAATTCAAAGTCTTACCTGGAGTCACAGAATGTTAAGGGATTGGAAGAGTCCTTAAAGATCATCTAGTCCCATCACTCCCTACCATGGGCTGGGACACCTCCCACTAGAGCTGAGCTGATTGTTTAAGGCCTTTTCCAGCCTGGCTTTGGACACTGCCAGGGTTGAGTCCAAAGCCCAGCCTGGTCTAGTTTTTAGTAAATACTAGTTCAGTTGTCTAACTTGAGTTGGCTTATCCTGATTTAAATGAGGTAAGGATTAGTTCTCTTCTTCCTGGTTTCATAGAGAATACTCGCTCGTTCAATGCAAGTGAAAGATGACTTCAGTATGACCTGAGGGCTGAGAAACCCATGGTCGTGCCCACTGCACTGCTGGGGCCAGTGCTGCCAGTGTGAACAGAAAGCAAACGACAGAAAAACTCAAGGTCAAGGACTTTCTGTAAACCTTCTCATGGTTTTACTGGCAATTATACCTCTGTGGACGCATTTTTAAAAGAAAAGTGTTGCCACCTATTTTTCAATCCTTTTCCTCCTCTTTGTGTTGCAACCTTATCATTGGAAATTAAGTCTATGCTGCCTGCAGCTGGGTTTCCCTCTTTATTTTTCTGCACAAGAATTTGACAAAAATGAGTGCTGCTTTTGCTGTGTTGGTATCTGTTGCAAGATTTGTAATAAATTCTTGGTTAGGTGCACTCATAAGTGAACTTGAGGGCAGTGGTACAGTCAGTTAAACATCACCACTGTATACTAAGGACAGTGGTAGGACAACCAAGCAGTACTCTTAGACTATGTACACAGCTTAAAAACAAAATACTGCCCAGAGCAGAAGAATTTGAATACCAATGCCCTTGAAAGGTAAGTTTGTGATTCAAAAATTAATAAAGTTATATGAAAATAAGAAAACAGTTGAGAACATTTTCTGTCCTAGGCATGAATGCTGGGGACAGAGTAAAATTGCATTTAAAAAACATTTTCACCACAATTCTGATTTAGAGAAAATTTTGGTTGCAAACTGTGTGATGGCATCCTTTTCATTTGACTGATTATAAAAAATCCTTTAGCTAACGAGATATCATCCTGTCTGCATTTTATAATTTTTTTTTTTAATACCCATTTTTAAAAAGGATTACTTTCATGGAATTTTCAAGAAAGTTTTGAAGAAAATATACCAATTAGGCACTATAGAGAGTTTGTTTTCTGGGTTTTTTTTTTCCTTTTCCTTAACACTACTACTGAAAAGAATCCTCCGCTCTCCAAGAATATTTGCCAACTTACCTGGCAAATCAGCACCTGCCATCTCCAACACTATAATATATTTCAAAACATAGTTTTTACTTAATCAAAAACACTCACTATATAATACAATAATGACCTAAGAACTCAACCCAAAGTGACACAGAAGATGGAGAAGCCACAGCAGAAAGAAAAGGTTGTATTGTTTATAGGTTAAAAATTGCAGTCTTTGTGGTTGTAGTCTTACATTTTGAATGACAAATTTGCTTCTCTGGGTACTGTATTTTACTTGACACCGCTTTATTATTGCCTTGAAAGAAAACAAAACAACCTCAAAAATACTCATTGTGCCCATATTGCTGACAGTGTCTGTCATACAAGTGTGCAGCAATTGCAGTAATGTTGAGTTTTCCTTCTTTAACCTGGACCTGTGGCACTAATGAGCATGGACTGGGGTTATAATAAGAATCTGCTTAGGCTAATGATGCACCCAGACAACCTTGGAAGTGGGATTTAGTCTCAAAAATTTCTTGTGCATGCATTTCCACTTCAGCTGTGATGTTTCTCAGCATCTTCAGGCAAACCTAATTCATCATAACTCTCACAAAAATATTACATTTTTTGTTTTCTGCATACAGGTAATAATTTTTAAATGTTTTTCTCCACCTTCCTTTCTGATCAGTTGCAAATGGAATATTAGAAATTAGGAATTTATATTTATTTTTTTAGGAGGATCTTTTCAAAGCTCCATTTTTTAATATTATGAAAGAAAAAACACACAGTAGCATTCACAACAACTCAGTTTCAGAGTACCCACTCATTACCATGTAAATAGCACAGCCACTTACTCAGCACACCTTCCTCTGCCTATCATTCCAGTGTCAAGCCTGTGAGTTCAAAAGTGCACCCCCTTTTTGCCAAAACCATTTTATGTCTGCTAAGCAATTATTTTATGAGGGAAGAATAATGGAACTTCAGTCCATTTTAAATGACATACTGTCTGTCAGCCAAGTAGATCTGTTCTGAAAGGCATGGCCCTGACAGTTGGGCACGGCTTGCGTGACTCTGCTTAATTTCATGTCTGCTGTTGAAGTAGCTGAATATGGTCAATACAACAAAAACTATTTTTAGAGGTTTCAGAATATTTTGAATATTGACTTATGTAGCAATAAACACATATGCAAGACAGTACAAAGTTTCAGTGCCATGCCTGTTGCATTCAAACAAAGTCCAGTGTATACATTTCTTCTGTTGCCCTATTGCTTTCTAAAGCCAATAGCGTTATTACATAATGGATATCTGAAACATGAAGCAGATCAAACTCTCTGTTGGACATCCACTGAACCAGCCCCCAAAACTGCTTTGTTTTTTTTTTTTCTCTTTAAATTTGAGACTTCCTGAGACTACAGAAGAAATAAGATTATTATTATTCTAGAGACAGACTTTATGAAATTACAGCTTTGAAAACACCACGAAAACATCAGCATTGCACAGCTGAATTTCTCAGCAGTAATGTAGAAGACTGGCACCAAGCCACAAATCTATTTGCAGGAAGGCTGTTTTATCCACAGAACACCTCTTCATGCATTGCAAAGAGCCTCAGCAGCACTCACTCAGATAGGCTATTGCCACTAAAAAGCCAGGTTTGTCCATCTCCAGCCTACTTACATGGCACTGTGCGGAGGTAGAGATTGTCTCTTATGATCTGCTGGAGCTCATGGTCCACCGAACCTTTCTGAAACCGTAGATTGAGGTAGTGACGAAGGTCCTTATCAACAATGCCTCCTGTCAGGGAAAAGACAAATGAAAGTACAATTTAAAATTATATTGCTTTGACGGAAGCAATGAATCACTTGTGAAGTCTTTGTGGTTCATTTTTCTTCATGATTCTGTCACGATGGAGGACGAAAAGCACATAGAGATTTCTGGTTAAAGCATGTGGTTGGTACAGTATTTTTTACTATTGATAATTGTAAAGCTAAATCTTGACCACAATTTCTTGAAAAACTCATTTCCTTATCAACCCAGGACAAGTTCAGAAAATAAATATAGGATTATAGACAGAGCTGTCAATTTTCTTTCTGCACAGAACTTGAACATATTGTTATCACAAAACTACCTATATATGTAGGTAAATAATAAAGTATTAGGTATTATATTTCCCATGACCATGTACCAATTCCCGTTTTTTATTGAACTAAAAATCTTGGTTCAAAATCTCTGTGCAGTGCTTGGTGGTTTTAGTCCATGTGTAACCAGAATGAAATGTGGCTGTCTGTACTGATCATATAAATGTTATATGTCCTGTTTTATGTATATTGATAGAACTAACAATTGAAGGAGGCACTGTCAAAAACAAGGGTTCATAGTTTATTTCCACCACCAAAAATGTCATTACAATATCTTGGCAAAGCAGTGCATATGGGGGAAAAACTGAGTTAAAAACCTTGTATTTGCCACTTTTACTATAATTTTAGGACAAAACAATTTAAACTACTGACTGGTATATCATCTTCCACTATGAAAGGCATATCTATAAATCTAATCCAACATGATTAATAAGCATTTCCCAATATAGTTCCTCCTCATTTCTTTTAACCTTGAATAGGGATCACATTTATAATTATGGAGAAGTCCATAAATAACTCAGTTTCTTCTCTCTCTGAAATTCTGACATAGGAAAAATGTAGAAAATCATTACTACATTGAATTCTGACATATATTCCCAAGATGAAAAATTGCAAGTAGATAGATCCCTAACTTGTTGCTTCACACATGCAACCTTAACACATTTTTTCAAATGTCATTTGCTATGGAATCCTCTGCCAAAAGTCTTGTTGACTTAGACTATATAAAGATTTTTCTGTAAATAGGAACACATAACATCCCTACTGAATTATTTGAAGAGCACAAATGCTTATAAATTAATATATATTTCTTCTTACAGATATTCCTATTTATCTGCCTCCTATAATTCCATAATGTTATTACTGCTGCACTTTGTCAGTAACTTCAAAACCTTTTGTTCCAGGTTTACAAAAAGCTTTTAAATATTTTCTCTCTTTAGCTAAAGGCAAAAAAGCCAGCAGACTTTCATAATCAAAAGAAGGGGGGAAAAACACCCCAGCTCATATGACACAAAATACCTGTATGCCCGGCTCCCTGAGGCTGAGAACTTCCCTTTGGATCTCTGTTCTTCCAGGATCCCCAAGCTCTAATTAATCTATTACTTTGTACCACTAACCCTGTTTCTTACAATAGAAAAGTTTGTGCAGATGAGACCATCCTTACTTCTAATTTCTTTGAGATTTCTGAGGGGCCTGTAGAGAAACTCTCTGAGTCTGCTGTCCTTCGTGATCGGCTGCAGAGAGTAAAGGTCCTGCAGCTCTTGCTCTTCTCACTCGAATATGCAGAACATGCCCAGTGATGCAGATGCTCTCTGGCAGCCTGAGAAAATGCCAGCTCGAGAGCAGCAGCTGTAGCCTGCCCACTGACACAAACTTGAATCATTCAACTTATAACATTAGTAAGTTTAGGATCTACACAGATTTCTGACCCTCAAAGTGCATTTTTTATTTGCAGCCTCTCATTTCAAGCACAGCCATTTAATTCATTTAGTTCAACATGTGTAATGAATGCACTAAAACCTCCTAAGCACTTCATAAAAAGAGTCACCTGATATTTTTGGCAAATTGAATATTCCAAACTAAATATAAAAATGTGTATTTACAGGAAGAGATGCCTGCAGCCTTGCATTTGTTACGTGCAATTAAAAAACAAGTTTCTAAGAGAAATAAACAAAAATGAAAGAATGGTGCAGAGGAAATAAAACTTCCAAGCACAATGGAAACAATATAATTTTTTCTTAACATCTGAGTGTATAGTGTGGAATTTTGTGCATTTCAAAGAGCAGTCAGAGTAACTATGATTAAGTACAATGTACAATTACCAATTTTCTTCTTTAAAAGTAATTTTGTTGTCTTAAATAATTCATGTTTTTCAATACTTTGGGCATAAGCTACCTTTTTTTTTTTTTTAATCTGGTATAACAACAAATTTTTCCTCCTGGAAATTTAAAAAAATAAAATAGTTCTAGAGCTCAGAAAAATAGATGCAGCATATTTTTAGTTCATCCTTTCAATTGTCATGCTTTTGTTTTTCTCCCCTAAAAAGTTCTGTAGTTTTACCTGATGTTATTTAAAGCATATTGACTCCAGAAGTGCTTTTGTGGTATTTAAAGTACCTAAGCTTTGGAGCAGCCTGATCCTTTTGAAGCACAATCAGAACAACATCTTGCATGTGCAGTTATGGCTCCATAAAACTTTTTGCAATAAAACTATAGTGTATTGCAAATATGTAAACCAGCCTTGATTCAGCAGCAGTGAATTACAGTGTGTGTTAAAGACTATATAAAGCAAAAATAACGTGCATAATAGTAATAGGGCTATGTCCTCCAATGGCTGAAAATAAGATACAGAAAATGTTATAATTTGGTTTACTTGGGAGGGAAAGAAGAACAGTGACAATGACAGTAAGTTCACAGAAAAAGAAAGAAGGGAAGAGCATTTTTACAGTCAGTAACTACTATTTAATGACCCTATCCAGTCCTGTTAGACAAGAGACTGACTTAGCTTCTGTAGAATTCAGCTTCCATTTATTTTCTCTTTCTGTAGAACATTGACTGAGATATTGAAAAATTCCTGACACGAACCTAACCCCTTTCTTTTCTCTTATTGCCAGGCTGCCCACAGTGGAGGAGCAGGGATGGTGCTCAGGGATCCTGGGTGCCCACCGCGCCATTCCGCAGATCCTGGCGCTGCTGGGGCTCTCAAGCTGGAGCTCAGAGAGAAGGAGCTCCCCCAGGCCACATCCTGCTCGCTGCATGTGACAGCAGCAGGAAGCACTGGTGTGTGTCAGAGGTATTATACAGCTCAAGCTTTAGGAGCCCAACCCAGAGACATAATATAAAGGGTTCTTTGGCCACTGCCACAGGAGGAGGCTGACAACTGCGTGATGGAGCATTCACTGGCTTGCAGCCACGCAGTGCTTTTATACTTTATTTTCTTTTTTGCTGGCTTCAGGCCTGTGCTCTGTTTCAGTTTCATTTCACTCCAATGGATCCCCTTGCTTTGCTAGCTGAGAAACATAGGTTGTGAATTAAATACTTCCAGTATTGATCTCTTGCATAATGCATGTGTGGGTTAGGTACAGCTACCAATCATGACGGTGAACTCATAACCATGACTGAAGTTTATTCCAGACATTATAAAATAAGACACACTTGGCTGAACTAAAAACTGCTCTGTTTGCATGTTATTCTTACAAATCTAATGAGCAAAGTATAACTTTTTACAGTGTTCTAATACATTTCTCTCATGTTTGCTTGTCTTTATAAAATCTTGTAGAAAAGTCCAAACAGAAAAGAAGTACAATAAAGAACCCACAGACAAAAGGGTACTGAATAGTTTCTAGATCATTAAAAAATTCAAATCTGAAGATAATTACCATTTCCAAGAAAATGGCAGGGATAAAGGTTTAAAATTTTCTCTAATTCTAAATGTTGTAACATCTTTTTGTAACTTCCTATTTGGTAACTCACTAATGCTCCAGCTGGAGTCTACAGTTGCATTATATTTTCCATGAAAAATATGTAAACACAAACATCCCTCTTGTTCCTGCAATGGTAGCTCTAAATAATTTGTTTTACCCTTAACACATTTTTATTGATGTAAATTTTCAACAAACACTTCTGAGTATTCACCCATTAGTATTTGCTCATCTTGTATCATAATCTTTCATTGAATTGACTTCCCAAAATATGGTATGGTAAATTATTTGGATTTTTTAACAGTAAAATCAATTGCATCTCTTCTGACAATGATTTGCCTTAGATATTTTATTTGCTGGGATTAAAATTTAAAATATTTATGTTTTCCTGGCTTCCATAAACATTCCTGGTTAGAAACATCTATGTGCCAGAAAGACTTTTAGATCTACATTTGCATCTGTACATGCTCTGCATCTGGAGAAACTAAAGGAAGTATCTTAATATCGTTACTCTGTGAAAGCAAAAAAAGCTCATAAACTTTCAGTATAAACCACCCCCTCTTTTCTACTGCTCTGCTTTAATCATATTGGCTCTCCCTTTGTTTTTAACAAGCTTCTACTTCTGACTTTAAACATAAGCCATATATTTGGCAAAATCAAATGCCTTGAATGACCTGGCTTTCACCAGCTTCAGCAGGAGTATTCTACTGGAGAGTCTCATCCAAATTATTTATTCAGGTGGTACCTGCAGCTTCATATCCAAACCATGGGATGAGTCCATTGACATCTGAGAGCAGCTCAAGTTTCTTCTGGATCTCTGCAGTAGAATACGTGCAATTTGGTGCCTGCTAGATTCATTTATCCTTCACTGTTCACAGATACTCTAATTGACCTTTCTATAAGTAGCCTAAATGATGACCTAAGTTCTTTAAATCAGCTATATCAGGAATATATGATTTATTATTTTTATTATCAGCTATATCAGATTATTATCTGATTTATTATTATTCTTTTACCCAGGAAGGTGAGTGCAAGAATATTCTTTTTTTCATATTTTTTCCCACACTGTCTCTGGGAGATATCAAGAAAATCATAGTCATCACAGGTAAAAAGCTGTGTGCATGGTCTAAGTGCTTATTTCTGAATGTCTTTTCAAATGGTCTGGTAAGAATCCAGAATGCCTCAAATTACCCTAGAGAACCCATCTTAGTCATTCCAATAATTTTAGTGACACCATG